CACCATTCACCTTCTGAAAAAAAGACCGCACCATTCTCCTTCTAAAAAAGGACCGCACATTCTCCTTCTGAACAAGGACCGCACCTCTTCTGAAAAAGGACCGCACCATTCACCTTCTGAAATAGAACTGCACCATTCTTCTTCTAAAAAAGGACCGCACCATTCACGTTCTGAAAAAGGACCGCACCATTCTCCTTCTGAAAAAGGACCGCACCATTTACCTTCTGAAATAGGACTGCACCATTCACCTTCTGAAATAGAACTGCACCATTCTTCTTCTAAAAAAGGACCGCACCATTTACCTTCTGAAAAATGACCGCACCATTCTCCTTCTGAAAAAGGACCGCACCATTCTACTTCTGAAAAAGGACCGTACCATGCTCCTTTTGACAAAGAACCGCACCATTCTCTTTCTGAAAAAGGACCGTACCATTATCCTTCTAAAAAATGACCGCACCATTATCCTTTTGAGAAAGGATCGCATCACTCGCCTGAAATTGACCGTGTTGTCCCCATCTTCGGTATCGTGTCAGGTTAGCATGAGTCATAGCACATCAGTTGATGATGGATCACAGCACTGCAGACACCAGATTCTCTCCGCAGCATTTCGCCTGTTATTGTCCCACCTTATTTTAAATTTGCCCTCGAAAGTTTCGCGCAAAACAACGTGAAAAGGATAGCCCCGCACTTATCCATGGGTTCCCATGTCTGCGAACATGGATTGATTTGATAGTTCGGTACACCAGTGCCTTCATACTTAGCACACCGAATGCTGGGTGGTGTGTTGATCAGTAAATGCAACACCAGCACTGACATCACCACGTGCATGAGTACCTACGCACCTCCAGTGCACCGTATATCAGTCAGTGCATGACTATGCCACCACCAGCGACAATCGCTTCTCAAGGGGTTGAGGGATTTAGGGATTTATGTAAGCCTAAACGCTACCATAGACCCTCCATACGCCCGTGCACACCGACTCCAATACAACACCTCGTGATTCAGGCGTTAGGACTACAAATGGCCCCTTAACTGGTCTAGCTGTGTACCCGGGCCCAATCTGTCAGGTGCCCTTGCTGCCATATACACTTGATATTATGGATCGGCATGACTCTTGCATTCTGCAACCATGTGTGTGATGTTTGTTGATCTTAGATGTGTGTCCTCACACCTCCAGCATACAATACTGCTTCATCGAACACATTCGCGCTAATTAGGCACTTCCAAAGTGTTATACTTGACCGACGCAACCAACCACCTATCATGCGGGTACGACGTTACCATAGCAACGTTCAAAATAGGAACCCTTGGGATCTCCACAGTCGGTCGCACTGTTCCAGTGCCAAGTGTGCGAGCACATCCTCTAACAAAGCGTGCGACTGCTGCTGCTGGTCAAGCCTCGGTTCACGCAGGGTGTGGCACTGACACACGAGGCCATTCTCGGCCCCAAAGCGCACAATTGGGTCAGTTTGAGTCTTTGTCTCGATTAGGGTGCAAACTGGGCACGTTAGGCTATTCTCAGGATTCGCCCCTACTGAACCACAGGTCGAGCGCGGTCTCAACGTATTACACAGGTCCGTTCTCACGGTTGTAACCGGTCAGCTCTACGAACGTACCCTTAGGAGCCATGCTCAACCGTTGGTCCGCAGGGCGTGGGGTAGTAACAAAGTATCAATCTGATGCACATACCCTCCCCCACATAACTGGGCAGCCCCGGTCACCGTAGCACCGCTTAGCCTTACAACCCCCTTAATCACAGTCGCTTCCTCGAAGCTTTGATTGAGCATCTCAACAGTCTCATTAGCAAACTGATCCATCGCTAGACTACCGTAGACGGCATGGCCGTACATAAAGTCCGCTAAAAGAGGTTCATTGCGGTCCAGATTTATGAAGTACAGGAACTCACTCGGGGCGTTCTGAAACGCGGTGTCTGTTGGTAGGAAGTAGGTACATTCCGTTGGGAATATTAGGCTCTTCTCGCGGGCCACTTCCAGCAACGTCGATGCTACAGAGAGAACGGACGATGCCGCTGCATAGTCGTAGATTGACTGACAGTCGGCTTTATCAGAGTCAGTGCCTTCCTGTCCTATCTCATTGTCATTGGACTCGATTCGGGTTTCAACGTCCTCGCAGAAGGTGTTCTTACTGATGGTATCCACCACGTGCACCACACCAGTACACGTGTGTCTGGCACTGCCTATGACACCCAGGCGTGTGTCGTCTAGTACTACATAGTCACTACCTACCTCCACATGCACTTTATCTCCGTTGAGCATGATCAGAGAATCGTTATGCGGAACACTCAAATCAACCCATTCATGAGTCATGAACCCCAGTAAGCTATCCGCTAGCCACAATTGATTCTTAGGTTTCAGTAGGCAAGAGTATGTGGTGTAATCTAAAGCACTGAATGCATCATTGATAGGCGCAAAGATAGTGATACTCTCATCTCGCATGTCCTCGAGTGCGGCGGTGGCGTTCGCCAGATATAAACCGATTAAGTACACGGATAGATCGGGGATTAACTCGATGACTGTGCTGAGGTTTAAACAACTGTTGTCTCGGTTAAACCGGTGATTGAATGTATGCACGTCTATGTTGTCTGCAGCATTGTTTTCATCGTTCTCTGTATGTCTCATGAGGTCTGAATCAAAACGTTCGAAATCGTCTATGTGCATCCGTGCACAAACTAGTATTGATAGTACCCATATAAAGGTGAACGCACTCAAGACGTAGTGCGTATTGGAGAGCATAACTGCTGCTTTCTGAAACGTACGGAAAATCTTCTCAGTGGTGACGGATGTGTGGATTATGATGAAGATCAATCTTTCTACATGTGTATATGCTTGTTCGAGTACAAGTAATAGTTATGGCATCAATACGTAAATACGATCCTACGACGACGCACAACGATAGATAATATATTCGCCCCGCACCACAGCACCGGAGCACCCTTGTACGCTACATATAGGTTTGCTTCCCCCTAATAAGGTGCTTCGTGTTTCAACACAGAACGGTTCTACCATGTGAGGACATTTATACTTGTATTGTATGTGAGGACATATGTACTTATATTATATGCGAGGACATATATACTTGTAGTATATGTGAGGACATATATACTTGTATTATTATATTTGCGACTATGTACACGCCCCACGGCCCACGGTGATATTACTTTTTTTTTTACGGAAATGATGGTAAATATTTCTGTGATACATGGCGGGGTCCATGGCCCGTGGGGTAAAACCTGTGACAGGAAAAGCCTTGCGAATGCTTTTTTCAATCAGAAATGTTTATAAGAATACTTTTTTTTTTCTGGGGGAGTTTTTAAATAAAACAATAAAAAATCAAATAAAATGAAAGTAACTGCAAATGTATGTATGCTGTAATATATTTGTTCCCGATTTCTCTCTTATACTTCATATTGTTCGATTTTTGCTCACTTCTAAAAATAGACTGGACTTCATTTCATTTTATTACAAATACACCACCTTTGAAAGATTCCCCCGATTTATTATTGTCCAAAACCGGGAGTTGCCAAATTCTACAGAATTTAGAATCTAATTAAATATTTGTAACATTCCAATTTCAAATTTCTCTGCTATGTACTCAAAAGGAAAACAAAATAATATAAAATAATAGATCTGAGAGCCAACTGGAGATGAAGTGGTACACTTATCATCACTTACACTCGTACAGAGCCGTAGAAGTAAAGACTACAGTTGCGTCTCCAGAGACACGCCTGAAGCTATAATTACATAGTTACCACACAATCAAGTGAAGTAACTGAATTCGTACTACTCTATTATTAGAGATATATTGCTATTAATATTCGTGTAAATAAATATATATATATATATATATATATATATATCTATATCTATATACTATATCTATATCTATATCTATATCTATATCTATAT